GCACAAAATTTTCTGCACCGAAAAACGTTAAATGGTAACAACAATGTTTGCACAAGAATTATTTGCAAAATGGAGTCATTGTGCCAATAATAAAAAAAATTTACACACACAGAACAACACTGTTACAAGAAAAGAAAATATTATTATCAAGGAATGAATGAGTGAATCACTTTAACTCTTAACTGCACATCAAGCAAACTTACAAGCAAAAGACAATTTACTTTAAAAGAAGAACTTAAAATCTGCACTAAGAGTGAATTTGTTACAATTGAAACATGAAAAAATAATAGGTGCTAATACTCAGAACAAAAAAAGTTTGGAAAACACTACAGTGATGCAGAACACACACATTAACTTAAACACAATACTAGAATTTTCTTGCAATGAACTTGAGTGTGAAAAATTTTGATAATAATGATTTCTTGCTTGCACAAATATAATGGCCCTATTTTGTCGTGAAATAAGACAAATTAGACACGGCTAATGAAAAGAATATGAAACAGAAATGTTCAACACACAGAACAAAACAAGAATACACAAATACTGGGAGGAAAATATAACAGACAAAACTGGGTTGTGATGCAGAATATAAGGTGAAACGTACTGAAAATTCTTCACTGGAATTACTGAGAACACTAGGTGATGTGAAATGTAAACACAAGATCTATACTTCTCAATGTTGCACACACATCAAGGAAAACCCTAGGTAACTTACTTAAGTGTATAAAAAGAAAAACAAAACACAACAGAATAAGATAATGCATAAAATTAACACTGATTAAGAAGATAAAAAAAATATTGCAATCAGTATATAATATACACTGAGTTATTCATGGAGTCACTGAATGTAACTAACTGTGAAAAATCACTGGAACAAAAAGAAAAGTCTCCACACTTGCACTGTCTATATGAAAAAATATTTCACTGTAGCGACGTGGTGAAGGAATGAGGTGGAAGGTTGGAGGGATGGTGTTGGAGGCTAAGGAGATGGTGGCTGACTCCGATCACTGACTTCTCTCCACACTCGATGAATTTGCCACTTTAATCGACGATAGACCTCCACACAGAGGCTTTCACGTGGTGCCAAAACACACTCTATCTCTTGACCCCTATGTGTCCTTTAAATATGGTGCTATAACCCTGTAGTGTACCCAAAAACACGGTAGAGGTTGGGTGAGTGGGTTAATGGCTGGGTGAGGATCTGAGGCAGCGGTGTCGAGTGGTTGGGTGGGTGGCGCTTTAAAAGGACGAAGGCCGGACCGGTGGTGAGCACAGTGGTAGTGGGCCTATGGGATGAATGGCTTAGCCTCACTGAAGTCAACCCACTGGCGCGAAGATATTCTAAGCTGGCTGGCTGAAAATACACCACGAAATACCACAACACACAGGATGAAAAAAAAAAGCATCAGAATGCCTTGGAGCTTGAATCACAAGCGTGAGACTGTACTCACAGTGGCTGCTGCGTACTGAGATAAGACACCTGGGTTAGTTGCTAGCTGGCTTATCTTAACCCTTCACACAGAATTGCTTGATAAACTTCTCACGATGAGCACAACCAGGGGTGGAAAGATGGTTGGAGGCAAACGCTGGATGGAGTAGGTAGGTGGACTGGACTCCCTCACCGGAGACTGGAGCTGGCTTATTTTGCCAAATCGGGTCAACCCCTGCGGAGTGATGCAAATATGCAGATAAACTACAATCAAAGAGACTGACCAGTGATTATTGTAGTGGCTGGTTAGAAGCTGAGAGAAGTTAGCTGACTTTAGTAGCTGGCTTGGCTAGGTCGGCCTAGTTGTAGAGGAGATGGGACCGTCTCCAGTAGAAATTTATCTCCAGAAATCACTGCATCGTCAGAATTTACAGGCCCTCTGCTTGTCACCATTTTGTACGTAGGGGTTCCTTAAATGGATGATATCGAGGGTTGAAGGTAGACACACTTGTTGGATGGTAACGATATATTGTAAGACTGTGGTAATGGGAGATGAAGCCCCCAGCACTGCCTTGTCCTGCTATGTCTACACGCGACTGAGAGGGAGGCAGAGGTAGATACGTTACACATGCGATCCCGTGACGTCACACAAACAGTCACAGGCCTAAAGGGATTTCTCTATAAAACACATGGCATGGTATACGATATGCTTACAACACATATAGGGGATCAGCACTCTTGCTGACACCACATCTGACTTCAAAATAAATACAACTCAAAACCCCTCACTCTAACATTAAAAACTAAAAGATTTTAATGTTAAGTAATGAGTGTTAGTGTTTAGTGTGTATTTTACTTTTTATTGCCTTGATTGCCTAGTTTATTTCTAACTTAATATATGTTAGTGTAAACCTTGTTATCTGGCATTCATATGCAATTATCAAGTGCAAAAAAAAATGGCGTTGCTTTCCAGCGATGTAGCTTTCTGGCAGGAGCTGGAAACCTAACCTGCCGTAATAAGCTGGGACCCCATTGTACTAGTGAAATTAGTGAGAATTTGTCTAATGAACAATGTAATTGGCCTAAGACAGGAATCAAAAGTTGGTAAATTCACGATGATAAAATACGCTGACACAGATAAAATACATGTAAGGGTAATTTCGTCTTTTTTCTATCAATTTTTGTACTTTTTGTTTTTATTACTTCAGAAAGATTCTGACATTTATATTAAAAAAAAATTTTTTTTTTTTTTTAATTCTTGGATCCTGTGGACAAGTTCAGATTAGGGGTCAGACCCTTTGTGGGGTCCAGACCCTGAGAATGATCTGATCCTGTATATTTACAACTTTTCTTGAGAATATGTTCTTATCTGTATATTCTCAACAGATGTGTGAGTGATACAGTACAATGTTGACACTAAGATTGATCGGGGAAGCATTCGTCAGACAGTGTGGGCACTGATTTTTGTAAGTAGAGTATCACAATCTGTACACACACAAATATTTAATCATGAACATTTTTATGGGCGTAAAAGTCACTTTCCCATCATGTAACTGTACTGAAAAGGCAGCACAACAATAATGTTTTATTTCTTCTAAAAACTCCATGATTTCGAGTGACTCACCTGAAATGCTGGGAAAGGGGAGCAACACCATGGGATATATAAACGAGCGAGAAAAAACTGTACTGACACTCCTTTCAGCTCTAAACAAACTGGACACTGCAACTTTTTGCATAAGTAATGGGGTCTGAAACAAACTGCAAACATTAATTACATTTATTAATAATTTTTGCATTTTACATGATTCTTAAGTTACAGTACATATACTAATTACTGTAATTAGTAGCAATATGGCTGATATTTTTTACAATGATTTCAATTCACACCTTTTCTCATATTAAGGGGAAGTAAAGTCTGGCAAAGAGTTTTGAAAAAACTATGGAACGGAACATGCTATATCCATTCCTGTGGAACCTCGGTTTCTCGTACGCCCAGTTTTCATAGGATTTGGTTTTGATGACATTTTTCAGTCAAAATTTTGTCCAGTTTTTGTACATCACCTCAGTTTTTGTAGAGTTGACAATGGTCCGTACCGTCCTCCCATCCTTCTCTACTGTCCACTTCCAACCCTATCCTATATAACCTAATATATAAACATATTTATATCCATCCCTCTCAAACTCCCTCCCTCAAACTACCCACCTATTAAATAATATATTAAACATCTATCCTCTGTCCCATAACCACTCCCCCCATTTTCACCCTCCTAACTTAACCCTATCTACACACCACTCCAACCCCCCACTTAATAAAAACACAACAAAAAAAACATAACCCATACCCCAACAATATTTACCTTTCCCATTTTTCCCTCATACACCTTTTTTTCTAGCTAATGTTACGAAAAGTGGTATATGGGTGGCAGGATGTATGGGAAAAATCTGATCTACAATCAGTTCCATCTGGCCAAGAAAAAAGAAATCATGGGGGCTGATGTTGCTAAAGAGGTAAATGCGCTAACAAAACACAGATCACAAACAATCGAAGATGTTCAGTTGTTGTTGTTGGTGTGGATCAACGAAAAACAGTTAGCGGGAGATAGTGTTTTGAAGTCGATAATTTATGAAAAGGCAAGCCAGTTGCATGCGGATCTCGTAAAGAAAATGCCTGGAACAAGTGCTGCTATTAGTGAATTTAAGGCCAGCAGAGGCTGGTTCAACAAATTCAATAAGTGATCTGGCATACACAGAGTGTTAAGGCATGGCAAGGCTGCAAGTTCGGACAAACATGCGACCGAAGTGTCTGACAGACACCGCAACATCATGGGATCTTTTTGTTTTTTTCAACAAGTCAGCCGTCTCCCACTGAGGCAGGGTGACCCAAAGAGAAAGAAAATCCCCAAAAAGAAAATACTTTCATCATCATTCAACACTTTCACCTCACTCACACATAATCACTGTTTTTGCAGAGGTGCCCAGAATACAACAGTTTAGAAGTATATACGTATAAAAATACACAATATATCTCTCCAAACTGCCAATGGGATCTTGATACAAAGAATTCTTCAACACTTGTCCAACCTTTGGACGAAGACGAAGACGAAGACTAGTGGATGGTACCACTATGACCCCGCCTCCTGCTTCGCCTCGCCTGACTACAGTACATAAGCCACTTCTACAGCCCTATGCTGTACTTTCTATAAGACTGATGGACTGAACACATCGACTCCAGGCTGAGGGACTTATTACCTCAAACTCCTCCTCTCCTTACACCTTTCTGATTTGTATTGGACTAATGAAGCCACTGTGTGGCAAAATGTTTCTTTGATAAAGATACCCACATGTTGTAAAAAGTGTCTCAATCTTCAACTTCATGATTTTAAACCATTTATCATATATGTATTTAATTTGTCTCATAAATCTTAGCAAAATATATAAAATTTAGCTGAAGACCCAGGAACCTTACACTATGAATTAAGTGTATTAAAATATACATTAAAACATCATATATAGGTAAAAGTTAATATGTAAATTTAAAAAAGTTTCAGTATTGTCTTACATGGTGGTGTACAGTGTGCTCACTATGGAAGGCAGTAGGACCACTGGAATAAAAGTAGGCACAAGGCATAATTCTTCAGCTTGACAGCTCTCCTGTAGTGAGAGTTGATATATGCAGCAGTGCAGCTGCTGATCGATGACAATCCAAACATGTAATTCTTCAGTGCAAACCTTATCAAATGAAAATGAAGACAGGTAAATTAAATTTTCACTTCCTACAAATATTAAAAATGATATAATATCTGGTTTTAAATACTGTAATAATAAGAGGCCTTTTTTATTATTTTTTTTACATTTAAACATTGTGATTAAACTTCTTTCCTAAATTTAAATAATAGGTGAATATTTTTTCTTTTAAAATTTTCCATGCAAGCTTGCCGAGGTTTAGGGTTACAAAAGCTACTGATAATATATATATTTTAGAGTACAGTATTTAATTTATGATTTTCCCCACTGCAAAACATAATTGTACATACTCTTGATGTTTTCAAACAAGTGTCTTCACCAGGTGCCAGATCAACCAGGCTGTGCAACAATAACAAACCATGAAACTAGGTTACTTCACCTTGAGAATAAGATCAACAGCCTTGAACAACAACTAACATCAACTGGCATGACTGATTTTGCCAAGACCCTCCAATCAGTCATAGCCAGTCACACAGATCAAATAACTTCCCTAAACATGAAGATTGAAGATGCTGTCTAGGACTGGAAAACAAACATGGATACCCAACTGAACAATTATTTTGCTTACCAAGATGACAAGGCAGAGCAAGATAAGCTAGCCGATGCAGTAGTAATTAACAGTCCACTTTTTCCTAGTGAATTAAACCATACCAACTGCAAAGCTACAACTCTCCAAATCATACGCGACCACCTACAGGTTAATGTACCAGTGTTGGAAATTAAAGAATCACGGTTACTAGGGAACCAAGGAAGAAAAAGTGTTATGCTCAGATTTCACACACAAGACAGAAAAAGATATATACATAAATGAGTGTCTCACAAGAAAATGACTGAACCTCCTGTACAGAGTGAGAAAACTGAAACGTGAGAATAATGATAAAATTCACCAGTGCTTTGTATGTGATGGACAAATTCTAGTAAGAAAAACAAATGTAGGCCGTGTGTACTACATTACAAATGAAAATGAACTAGTGAACATCCTTCATGATGCAAACATTACAGAGTCTGACTGATATTAGTGACCAAATCACTGTACTATGTTAGTGTATGTTATTATGCCATTATTGAACTAATCCCTGTACTATCACCTCCTGGATAGTATTTACTACCTCATTATCCCATGTGTCCCACACAGTTCATTGTGTTACTCAATTTGTGTTATCTTCCCAGATTTCCCTTTCACAATTTATTACTTGTTAATAAGATACTCTTTAATAATATCTGTAGTACCATTTATTCCTACTTAAGCACTGTTATAATTCTACTGTAATATTACCTAATTTTCCCTTTGCTCCTAAACTACAAATAACAAACTAGTGTATGCTCCTACTACACTACAGTGCAATTCCTTGTACCATCTTCCACTAACTAGTATCAACTACCTCATATAATATTTCTTTAGTGATATCAATTGCTCAAACTTTATGCTATAAGGCAAATTCTACTCTTAGATTAATTTCATATCTAGTGTCAATTTTAAAAATTTGTTTTTACCACTATTTAAATTTAGTCCCTTTTAAATTTTCCCCTGAAAAAATTTCTCATATACCAATACATTTACTGCCCTTTTTTCAGAATTTGCTATACCCCTAGCTAACAACAATTAAAGAGCAATTTTTCAGGAGATTTTTTTTTTTTTTTTTTTTACCCCCTTGTCCAAATATCACTTTATTAAAATACCCCGGTGTTTTTGACACCTCAGGTGTACTGTTTTTTTTTTAACCCTTTGCTGTTTCGGGCCCCCCTTCGAAATGTCATTTTATGTCGCTCAATTTTTAAAAAAAAAAAAATTTTTTTTTCTTATGAAATGTAGAGAATTTTTTCCCGATGGTAATGAACAAAAGTTAAAAATTTGGGTCAAAAACTCGTGGAATTATGTCCGCAAAAGTTAGGGTTTCTGCGAACATAGGTATCGGGTTTTTTCGCCGACTTTGAGCCCTTTTTTTCACCAATTCCATTTTTCCAGTTGACCAAACTCATAGCTTTTTTTTTAGAACTCCTTTTTTCTATCCTGAGTAAAAGAAACCTCCCTTTTTTACAATTTGGAACCCAATATGGGGGTCAAATTGGCAATTTGGGCCCCAATTTAGCAAAAAAAAAAAAGATGAAAATTTCAAAATGGGGGTCCGAATAAACAAGGAAACCCTTTTCGTGGACAAAAATAACATATGTCTTTTCATTAGTCACACCCTTAGGCCCTTCTTATTTATTATTGCTTTCTTTTTATTTTTTTTCACAAAAAAATTAAAAAATTATGTTATGCAGACGACTGCTTTATTGTAAAAATGGTATAAATAAATCATGCACTAGTGAAAAAAATATAGACCCCCCAGTTGGGTTTTGGAGGGGTGTGATTTTTTTACTCTTGAACTTTTGGAAAAAAACGAACATTTTCTTTTGAGCTCATTTTAAAGGTCGTTTTATCGTAAAAGTAAGAAAATAATCTCTATTTCTATAATATGTTTTTCCATTTTATCACCAAAAGCCCATGAAAACGAAATTTTACAATGATAAAATACTATACGAAAATACACCTCAAAATCGGCGTTTTTTTCCCAAAAAAAAAAACGATCAGATTTTTTTTTTTCTATTACGAAATGTGTGTGCGGGTTTTTTTTTTTGGGGTGCACACGCCCACACAGCCATTCTCTCACATGGGGCCCCACTTTCCCCCACTTGATTTGAACCGCTGAATTTTTGAGAATTACGCAGAAACATTGGGCTCGAAGCGTATTTTAGTCAAAACAGTAAAAGGGTTAATACCGTAGTTTTTTAAACTACTTTTTAAAAAATTAAGTGCTTTAGATGCTTAAATGTATAACTTATTTTTGTATTAATAACCCCTTTTTCTTTTAAATTTTTACAAGTTTTAGAAAAAAACAGTCTTTATTCAAAAGTTAGTTGTAGTTTTTAAATTTTATAACTCCTTATTATTTTACTCGAAAATTGTTTGTAAAATTACTCTCATCCTAGATTCAGGCATAGACCCTGTAAAAACTTTTTACTAAATGAAATACCGAATCAAACAGAATGAAATTAAAACAGCGACCAAGAAAAAGACATTTCAGGAAAACAATAACAAAACCCTCTTTAAACAATATAGATCCTTGAGCAAAATTTATGTGACCTACGCATTACTAAATTTCCCCCTTCATTCCAAATATAAACATCACACTCCAGAAACCTAGTTAACCTAAATTTTTTTACAGATGTCTTTACCATTCCTGGCTACTTGCCCCAACACAATGTAGAACAGACCCCCAAGGGGGGGAACAGCATAATTACTAAATCAACTCGAATGCATCGACAAATCCTGAAAAGGGTTTTAACATGGAAAATATTCATACCCAAATTTTAATCAAAAGCCCTGAAAAAACCCCCTCACAATTATAAACATATAAAAGGAAACCACAGTAAACTTTTACCACTTTAGGGAAAAAACTGGGAAACAGTTTCTGAGCACCTGAAAAAAAACCACCTATATAACAGGAGATTTCAAAAAAAATATCTACAAAAACCAGGACCACAATAACCAAATTCACAAAAAAAGGGTTTAACTCCCGTTGCCCAAAAAATCTAAATTAAAAGAATCACCGAGACAAGCACTCCTTAACAGACCACATCGGGGAAACAATACCCCCTTTAAACCCCTTTTTCAGGGTCGACAGGCCCTCTAGAGACTTGTTTCGGGGCCCCCCCAAATTTTCAAAAAAGAAAAAAATTATTCTTTCTTATGAAAGATAGAAAATCTTTCCCGATCTAATGACACCAAAAGTAAAAAATTTAGGAAAACTTACGGAATTATGCTCTCGCGAATTTAGCGGTCTAACGTTTTTATCACGGAAATTTTCCCCAAATTTGAGCCCTTTTTCGGCCAATTCCAGTGTCTAGTCGAAAAAAATCATAATATTTCGCTAGAACTCCATTTTTTCTATAAAATGAGTTCAAGAAACCACCCATTTACCGATTTAACTATCAATACATGGTCAGAATTTAGAATTTTCCCAATTTCACACAAATTTCAAAAGATCCCAATTTCCAAATGGGCCCAGAATAAAAAAGAGAGACTTTCCCGGGCACTAAAAAATTTTTCCCTTTTTTAAATTAGTCCGTCCCCACCCCCCTTTAATTTTTTTTTCTTTCCACTTAGAATTTTTTATTTCACAAAAAACAGATGATTTACTTTTTGCAGACACTGATTTAGTGTAGAAATGGAAAAATAATTGCGCACTTGTGAAAGAATTCAATTCCCAGTTGATGTTTTTTGGATGATAGCTGATTTGTTACTTTTGAGTTTGGAAAAAAATCAAAGTTTCTGCTATTTTGGGTTCAATTTAAAGGGTACTTTTTTGTAAAATAGCAAAATCATCTCAATTTTGAAAATATGTCTTCCATTCAAAAAAATGAGGCCAGGAAAAACTGATACAACAAAAAATAACATACGAAAATACAGTGCAAGTCGTGTTTAATCCAAAAACACGGTAAAAGTTTTTTTTTCTATTCCCAAATGTGTGTGCAGGTTTTTTTTTTTATACCCACACATGACCAAAAAGACCCATTCTTTCATTGTAGGCCACCGCTTTCTTCATTAGATTTGAGGGTGCTAGGATTTAGGCGTACTAGTCGTCAAAAACCCTGTGCAAAAGCCGTTTAGGGGCCGAAACCCGAAAGGGTTAAAAATAGGCAAATCACAGACAACACTACAGACCACTACCCAACCATTCATAACTACCTGGGCAAACGCCAAAAGACATCCTAAAAGAACCTTCGGATACAAACGGGGACAGCATTTTACAACTTTACAGCGTATGAATACATCGTTGGCAAAAGGAGCTCAAAATATACATATGAAATGAATGTTAAATAATTTTCTAAAAAAAGCCAAAGCCCCTATAACAAACTTTTCCCAAAAAAAACTAAACAATCACAGCAAAAAAAACTGATAATCCCCGGGTAACACCAAGCATCCTAAACCATTAAACAAA